GTACATGGAAACCTCTTGTTGTAAGAACATTATTTGTTTGTGCTTCTAAATAGCGTATGAGTGTTATAGTCCTGCAGAGTATGTGACTATATGCATTCATGTACATGGAATCCTCATGTCGTAAGAAAATACTTTGTTTGTCTTCTAAATAGCGCGTGTTAGTTATAGTCCTGCAGAATATGTGACTATATGCATTCAGGTACATGGAATCCTCATGTCGTAAGAAAATACTTTGTTTGTGCCTCTAAATAGCGTGTGAGTGTTAGTCATGCAGAGTAGGTGAGTATATGCATTCAGGTACATGGAAACCTCTTGTTGTAATAAAATACTTTGTTTGTACTTCTAAATAGCGTGTGAGTGTTATAGTCCTGCAGAGTATGCGACAATATACATTTAGGTACATGAAACCTCTTGTTGTAAGACTATACTTTGTTTGTACTTCTAAATAGCGTGTGAGTGTTATAGTCCTGCAGAATATGTGAGTCTATGTATTTAGGTACATAGAAACCTCTTGTTGTAAGAAAATACTTTGTGCTTCCAAATAACGTGTGAGTGTTATAGTCCTGCAGAGTATGTGAGTATATGCATTCGGGTACATGGAAATCTCTTATTGTAAGAAAATACTTTGTTTGTGCTTCCAAATAGCGTGTGAGTATCGGTATATTGGCGAGGAAGTCAGGTAAATCGTAAAACATGGACTTCACGTGAGCCATGAAGTGATTCAAGATATTTTTAACTATTCAGAATCCAAGGCCATTATATCGATTACTATCTTTTGCGATAATGTGTACATAACAGTATATATGTGCTTACGTATGTGTGAGTATATCTATATGCGTAGCTAGCCCGAGATTTTTAGTCACTTGTGTACTGGAGTCTGATGAAGTACATACGTACATATGTCGCTGATATAAGGGACCATCCAGTACCATCCCCTGACCTTTTAATCTATACGTTATTCTCAGAATGACCATGATCACGGGTATGTCAGCCGACGATGATGTGTCACCATGCTCTCCTGTGCGCGTGGAAGAGCTGGTTGAGAATTACGATATAGAATGGTCTTGCAAAACTCAAGGCCGGTATGTAGTCCATTACGAACAATTGAATGTATTGCGACTGCGTAAAGTTTTAACAGGTTCCATATAAACGTGGATAAGTATAATTATCAACGTTTATGTAGGCAAGTACACTGTTTGTGTGGTTGTGTTGTACCTGGCGACCAGGGATATTTTTTTTTATGTGTGCAGTCGCGTAATGTATAGTATTAAAATGAGATGATATATATATATATATATATATATATACGTACGTACGTATGCATGCATGCATGCATGCATGTATGTATGCTTGTATGTATGTATGTATGTATGTATGTCTGTACATACATATGCATGTGTGTGTGTATGTGTGTATGTGTGTGTGTGTGTGTATGTTTGCATGTCTATGTTTGTATGTATACATGTATATACATATATATATATATATATATATATATATATGTATATATATGTATATATATATGTGTGTGTGTGTATATGTATATATATATATATTTATGTATATGTATATATATATATGTGTCTGTGTCTGTGTCTGTGTCTGTGTCTGTCTATATGTATATGTATATATATATATATATACATGTGTTCGTATCTATATATATAAATATGTTCGTGGATATATATATATATATATGCGTGTCTGTTTCTGTGTATGAGTGTAGGTACATGTATGCGTAAATATTTATATATATGTATATATATTTATATATATATATATGTGTGTGTGTGTGTGTGTGTGTGAATATATATATATATACATATATATATTCACGCATACATGTACATACACTCATACACAGAAACAGATCTCGTACAAGCTCGGTTCCTTCGAGTTTTATTGTTTCATTGGAACGAAGCCACTTCGGCATAGCTAAATACAATTTAGAGGAAATCTCTCAGTTTTGCGATGTGTTTCCTAAACAAAAGTGACGAACACCTGGGTGGATGGGACTTCAAGCGTACCGATATCACCGGCAAACTCCTTTTCCGGGACGACGAGTCTGCGGAGGGCGAGCACGTGGGGTCTATATTCGTCACACGGATCAACCGGACGTACATATGCAACGAGGTTCTGGCGTTTGACGATGTATTGGATGAAACGGTGGAGATGAACATGATTGTGGCCTTCCTGGAGAAGATTAAAGAGGAAGGAGAAGAGGATAGTAGCGGCAACTGTATCTTTGTGCAGCATCTCTATGTATCTCCGCGTCATCGAGGATATGGTAGGGGAACGAATCGATCAAGACTTTCGGATATCACATACCTGTTGTTCGTGTTCAGCTACTTGTACCTATTCGGCCATCTTTCTCGACGCTATAGTGTGCCTATATACATGTAAACATAGATACATAGATACATATCCGCAGGCATATATGTAGATTTTAGTGATCTTAACAAAGTGTATGACCATTTGCGTATGATATCTTCAATCAGTGGCTTGTGGATTCTGTAGTGGAAAGGGGTGAGGATTCGTTCCCGATTGAACGCAGAGGGGGTACAGTTGCTTCTGCGCATCATCTGTTTTGTTCACCTCTGGCTAGTACATATTTACGTATCTCCAAAGGAAGAACAATTGCAACACGTGGTTATAAGAACAACAGTGGTTCTGGGATGTTCTGACATACGCTCTACATTGCCAACCGTCCCGCACCTTTAAACGTATACGGCACCAGAGCGTTTAGCGTTCGCCTGGCAATTATCAGTGCGGGGTGTTTTACGTTTTGTGAGAATTGTCTCAGTTGTGTGGCTATAATGGACGTGAACTCGCTCTAACATCATTCAATCTCTCACTGGTTTTGGTTTTGTAACTAATTTACGATGACATGTGTGATAAGTGTTTATCTTTGTAGTGTGAGCTATTCTATATGCGGATATGTTATACTACTATATAGCATGTAGTCGGGTTCATGTATCAGCCAGAGTACACTACATATCCCTTACTGTATGTATGCGGATATGTTGTACTACTATATAGCATGTAGTCGGATTCAGTCGGATTCATGCATCAGCCACAGTACACTATATATCCCTTACTGTAAGTATGCGGATGTGTTGTACTACTATCTAGCATGTCGTATGATTCATGTATCCGCCACAGTACACTAACCATCCCTTCACGTACGCTGTGCTGTATGTTCAGGACTGGGGTGGTTTATGGTACAGGCCTGTGATGAAGTCTTCAACAGCGGCATGTCCCTGGCCGTTTTAATGGCCTACCCACAGCAGTATAACCACAGACTGCAGCTGTGTCACGAACGGTTCTTGCCCGGCGCCAACGCAAGCTTAGCCGAAGATTATTCCCAGTTTGACGATGGCCGGAATGAGTATGTAGAACAAGCTGAGAAACTTACTATGTACTTCGAGGCGTTCGGGTTTACCGATAGGGGGGATGGAATGCTGGCTCGATGGAACGGTGAGCGGCACCCGAGTCTGCATGGTCTGATGGGCCGAAAGATTGCCGCATCGGAGAAGTGCAGGAGGCGACCGAGTATAGAAGACGCAATCAGATGAGGGGTATATATATATATATTATTATTATTATTATTATTATATATATATTATATTATATATGTATATATGTATATGTATATGTATGTTCATATTGGACGGTAGCGGACATATTCAGTGCTGTGGATACCATATGCTTGAGCTATTCAGCCGGAGTTGTAATCCGATGTATGAAGTGCCTACGTGACCAGAATGCGATGGGATTGGATTGTGGTGCGTGATTGTAGCTGTCAATCCATTTCTGGGGAAGCCATTCAGTGTACACGCAGAGTCGCTCAGCCGCGTGGACGACATGCTTGATTATGGTCGCTAACAAATCAGGGCCAGTATGTGAATTCAAAAGCTATACAGTATCGTTTACGTATAGCACTATAGAGACTTTGTATGTGAATTCAAAAGCTATACAGTATCGTTTACGTATAGCACTATAGAGACTTTGACGTCTATATAGTCCTCAGTGCCCTTAGATCCCCCGATCGGTAATTATTTAGCTATGCAACGGTCATCCACATATATATAGTACTATCAATATAGCTAGCCATACATAGCATAGCACGCACACTGTGCATCACATATCACACACAATGTAGGATGACCCAAATTACCAGCGGGGGGTTTGTTTGTACAAAAGCCGAACATCAAAATCCGACAAGAGCTTCGTGAGCCTGGTTTGGTACTCCATCTTAGATGCACTTCAATGCTTCCCAGCCTTGCTTGAGGAGTTAAAGAAAATAAATTATAAAATGGGTCTCCTTTTTTTATAGCTGTCTTTGACTATGTCACCGAGATACTCTCTACCCATGTCCGAGACACCTGTAGACAGTGAGGTGGCCATTAAGCGTATCGCGACATAGCCAGACCCGGCTGTTGCAACCACGAATATACAATTCTGATGCCGCACCATATGTAATTCGTCGTCGCTATTAAATGTTTGCCGAGCGCAGGTTTTGTATTGATAGGCAATTAATGATCCCGTATTCCAATATATATTGGTGCAAAAAGTACATCAGGCAAGATGCCTGTAAAGCAATTCGACATGCATACACTGTGTTCGTCAAAAAATGTATAAAGCATGAGGTGCCACGACCTACGAGAGTTTGTTCATGAAGCCCTAACGTACTTCGTTTCTTCGGGAATTTGAATAGCACGAGTCATCGAATATATATCATAAAACTGTAGTCCCCGGTTATTGTACCAAGCCATTAAACTAGGTGCTCACTGCTCAACCTGCCAGGTAGAACCATCCCGGTGATTATCATTGTCACAACACCAAGAAACAAGCTAAACTTGGGTGCATAGGCGGTCGGATGGGCTACGAAGTCGCGAAACTATTCACAAACTTTAAAAGCAAAGAAACCTACGAATATCCAGAAACCATGGTCTCCTAAAGGGGGTATTATACAAAATGAGTTCCTGCGTGCCTGAGCTCTGCAGCTCGGCTATCAAGCCAACTATCTATATTCTGGACCGGTTATATCCGGAAGGATAGATATTGTAAAGCAAAACAGCTGTCAACAGACAATATGATATCAATCAGAGGATTCCATGGTGAACCCAATGTGCTCCAGCTGGGAGTGGCCGACTGGGCAGACGTCTCGTTTCTAGTTGCAAACTTTCGATACAGGGTATGCAAACGAGAATAGAGACAATATCATCATCTCGATCGAAGCCGCATTCCAGGAAGCCTTAAAAGGTCTTTCGGTATACTTGTGAGTGTGATACTGTCGAATCTAGAAACATCGTCTCGAAGGGATGTTAACGGATTAGAGAATGGGAGCTGGTCAGTGCGACAGCTGTAGAGATCTCACTTGACGTGGACGAGGCCAAGACGGAGGCGGAATGCGGGATAAGCAGGAGATACGAATCAACTTGTAGAGGAGACTTCCAAGGAGAGCGACAACGGTAACATGGTTAACTCACACACGGCCGCCACTTTGAGCGATATGAAGAAGCACGGGACATCGGAGAGTAGCTACATGGAACTTAAGGTTGAATCCGAAGCTGTGTACCCACTATCCGAAGCGGATAGACCTGGAGGAAACAATACACAAGATAGCGTTCGCACCGGCGCAGTGTGCGATGTTTTGCGACAAACTGATCGTTGGCAACCGATGTATGTGCAAGCATTGTTTTTCCTTCGATATATGAGATGCTTGCTTCCACACCATAGGACACACAGTGTCTCACCGCCTGGTCTTACCTAGGGCTACCTTTAAATATGCTCGTTGTGCTCCCCCAGGACATCGACAGCGAGCACATAACTACCCTTACCACCATCGTCAGTGTAATAGCACCTGTACAGCTGAGGTGCTTGGAATTCATCCTTTCAATGTAAATTATCTGGCATCCCGAATATGGTTGGGCCAGCCTTGCACTTCTTCTAAATACTGTGAAAGTAATCGACTTGTGCGCAGAAGTGATATGTACATAGAAGAGGTATAGGGCACGGATAAGCGTTGAATATGCATAACGGTATATTCTGACGATTAGAATCAAGCTGCTTCCATCACTTATTTATCTAAAGCTTTGATCACGATGTTTACAGAGCGCTTGTTGACACAAAATTGGTTCGAATTGGAGATAGTATGCCAACAGCTCGAACTCATGTATCAAAAAACAATAAAACCGTTGTGTATTGGCTGCATATTATTGACTGGCAACCGTTTTTCTCATCGTAGTTTAGTCCGATCCTACTCACCATATCAAAACTCAAAATCGATCGATGTTGATTGTCAGATGGTTTTGCATATTGCTCCCATGCTTTGCCGCACACATCGCATGCTAAATTCTTACAATACGACTTTTATAAAAATATGATACGCATGCATACATATTATATAATTTTGTACTAGATATGTTTGTATTATTATTTGTCTTTCTAGAGAGTACACAGCATGTTAGTCGACACTTAATTAGTAGAATCCAAGCAAAAGGGTTCGTCCAAAACCTCACAGGTCATTCTTGTACAAGTCGACTCGCCATTATCGTTGCACTTGCAAGTATTACACCCATTGAAGTACTGGGTGCAACCCTCTGCACAGAATTCCGGAATATCTAAGCACTTAGGCTCCTCGACAGTCTCACAGGCCTTCTTGGTACAAGAAGCCACACCGTCTTCACCACACGTGCAAGTATTACATCCATCGAAATAAGTGGTGCAGTCTGACTTGCATACATCAATCGCTTCACACTCGCACATTGTGCAATCATTACCATCTACCTTAAAACCGTTCTCGCAGTGCATTCTGCACTCCTTGTCGGAGCACACTGATGCTTCCGGCTCTACACATTTGCAAATGTCACAACCGTTGTCGTCTTGTTGAACCTCACAAAATATATCACACATAACTTCCGAGCACTTCTCCTTTGGCTCGACACATTTGCAAATATCACAACCATTCTCGTCTTGTTGGAATCCCTCATCGCAGAACATAACGCACATTTGGTCAGAGCACTTGTGCTCTTCTGGCTCTACACATTTGCAAATATCGCAACCGTTCTGATCCTGTTGAAACCCTTCCTCACAAAACATGTCACACATGACTTCCGAGCACTCAGGCTCCTTTGGCTCTACACATTTGCAAATATCGCATCCGTTCTTATCTTGCTGGAATCCCTCTTCACAGAACATAGTACACATTATATCTGAGCACTTGTGCTCCTCGGGTTCCACACATTTGCAGATGTCGCAACCAAACTCATCTTGTTGGAAGCCCTCTTCACAATACATGGTGCACATAACCTCCGAGCACTTGTGCTCTTCTGGCTCCATACATGCGCAGATATCGCAACCGAACTCGTCTTGTTGGAATCCATCTTCGCAATACATCATGCACACAACGTCGGAGCACTCGAATGTGTCACTAGCTCGAGGTTCGATAATCATTTCAGTATCATAACCAGTGGGTTTGGCCAAGACTGTCAGTGACATTGTTGCCAAGACGGCGACTGCAAAAGTTGTAGACTTCATAATTTAAATATTGAGTCTGATGTTTGATTGATATTTTAAATCCAAATTTTCCGTTCGTTCCGCCATGCTTTTATATACACTGCTCATGTTGGCCTCCGGCCCTCCGTGTCCATGATGTGCAATTTTTTATTTTATACATATCAGAAAGAGCCGTGTAATGATCCAGAAGAATGTGATAGATTTTAAAAATTAGAGGGGTGGAATCACACTCTGGCACTGGTATCATTTAAATACATCTGTTGTATCCTGCGAGGCTGTATCCTCTGACCTCAGACCTGCTTGGCTGAGGGCCTGTGGGCTGAGGCTGTATACAAAGTGCACATGTATAAATACATATATAACTCAAGAGCCCGAAAGACGTAGATAAATATATGCTATTAGCAGGCCGCAATACTCCATATCACAAGTTCACAACCACCGAAGCCGGCGGCAATCGAGCCCCTGGCCCCAGAGTGCCCCCGACTCACCCGAGTCCTCGACAGTCCGACTCCGCCAGCAGTAAAAGCCCCCACTCCTAACTTTTTTGGTTTTTTTTAAACATATACGAACATATACTAATTAAACAAACAATATTTTCAGTTGAACTTTTTTTACAACAAATAAATATATAAATGGAAATCCCGGTCATCGACTCATCTCACATCTGAGACGGAGAGTGAGTCATCGGTCATCTATTTTATATATAACAAATATTTACCATATTTAGCCTTCTGACAAAAATTGAACTTTTTTTTTTTCAGAAGGCTATAAATATCATGATTCGCAAATACTTTTATTTTCAAAATCATATTAATTTTTGTTTTTTTTGCTTAAAAAACCAAACAAACAATCCAAGTACAACTGTTAGGAGTTAAGATACTCCGAAGCGACAGACTGAATAGTGACAGCTAACCTCGCTACGTTTCCCGTTAAAACGCAAAAAAAAAGTATAAAAGAATAAGCGTTTACGTTCAAAGTATGTCCTAAATTTTGTCCTATGGGCTTACAAATATTTAGGTACATTTTTTGAGGCGGCCAATCTGTCACAAATTGTCCTATTTCTCACTGTGCGTCAGGTCTGAATAGTTTCAAGTCGCCCTTTCATTATAAACAAAAGGCTAATATCTCAGGTGCAAATTTGGAAAAAAATCAAGGTCGATTTGGGTCGATTTGCCCCCGATATACTTTTTAAAAACGCTTAAAAAAACTCTTGCGTTTACGTTTAAAGTTTATCGCATATAGGCAGAAGGTATTGAGCTTTAGAGTGACAGTTGCTATTTAAAAAAATGGTTAGATTGATCATTGTGCATGTCGTCGTAAATTTGTACCAGCCATTTGGCCTTGAGCCCTTTACCCCACATCCACGACTCCACGAGTCCACGGACCACGCCGCCACGGGCCACAAGATTTTACAGATCTTTATCTCTCTAAAAGCAAGTGAAATATCGTCGCTGACGGCTCGTAGCCCGTAGCCGTAGGTCAATTTAAGACTTTATAAGTCAGACCGTTAGGAATCAAGACTTCAAGAAGACAGGAACTCGGCATTGTCGTGACAACTGGTGATAGTCGGCAAAGCCAAGGCCCAAAAAGCCCGGTAATCACTCGCTGATTAGGGGAAATATCATAGCCTATAGCACACACAAACAGGCAAGATTGCGAAATGGAAATAGTCGTGGGATTTTTTATTGTACGACCATTCCATCGTAGATATCAATATTACTATTGTACATAGTCATGCTTTTTTTTTAAACGACCATTCCACCCGATGTATCAATGTGCTCAACAATTGAAGGCCTCAGGCCCTCATGGTACGGGATACCGCATTGTACGAAATTATATGTTGATGCTCATTTTCATTCCAGCTGCAATAAACTCGAATTTGTGTTGTCAGGATTCCATATGGTTCAATTTATGCCGAATTGACAAGATAGTATATTATCCTGTATGTAGAATAAATCCGCAGCGATGTTTCAATATCAGACCATTGTTATATTAAACCCCACTAGTTACACTATTTTGTCCGTTTAATATCGCAAGTTCGCAAGAGCTAAATTTGTGCGACAGATATGGAGATGTGAAACTGTGGTGGCCTTGCGACAAGTTAAGAATTGCTGATAGCGTAGTGTAAATCTATTATCTCTTTTAATCAAACGAACAAGCAGAGGCGAACTAAAGTAGATGGTATGTGTGTGGAGCCCCAATATCTCAGCATACCAAGACTTTACAATCGACAAAATGCTTGCCCTTGTAGATTCACGAGGTAGCCAGCGCTTTCTAAAAAAAAATTGACGCCGGTTCGAACGTTTATTAGTATATATTACGTGAATTATTTAACGCTGCAGCCCAGACAATTTTTTGTGGCCATAACAATAAAGCTCAGTGCACTCTTTGGTGTTTTATGCCAAAGACATATTTGACTCTT